CCTATGCCTTATGTACATATTTTTTCACACCGTTTTCTTGTTCCTAATTTGCGTAATGAGGGCAGTGAATTGTATGTTCTAGTTGGTCAAAATAGTTAGTTCTTGAGTTAATAAACTTATATGTGGACACCTATATTATTGCAAAGGATTTATAGGCATGAATTTGAAATCTTCAAGTTTCAGGTTTTACTGGAAACCGGGCTAGAATCTCCTCTTGGACATAAACATCAAAAATACCTGGCCCTTCGTTCCCAAGCCCAGACTTTAAGTGCACTTTGTTGGTGTGAGAAAGTTTTAAGTGAACTTTGTTGGTGTATGCATGTTGCTCTCCAACCTCTCACAGTTCCTTTTGAAATTATTTATACAAAATTATTCAAATTTAGCCCTATTAACATAACTTTACAAATAGGAGCTGGGGTTGTGGCTCAGTGGTAGAACACTTGCTTAGGATGTGTGAGGCACTGGGTTCGATTCTCAGCACTACATATAAGTAAATGAATAAAATAAAGGTCCATCAATATCTAGAATTTTTTAAATAAAATATATTCCTTACAGAAAATTCAGTTCTCTTTTTCTGTATCAAAGGAAAAGACCTTCTGAGAACAAATTGTGTGACAATTTATAGAAGGTCATCCCCCCAAAAGCCTTGAGAAAAAGAAATATTCTCTAAGTGCAAAATAGTACCTCTTCCCCCACCTTTATGTCTTTTAAAAGGCTAAGTTTTTCTTATTAAGGCCCTAAACAACTTAGGGAGACCCTATCAAAAAAAAATAAATAAATAAATACAAAGGGCTGAGGATGTGGCTTGGTGGTTAAGTGGGTTCAATTCCTGGTATTCCAAAAAAAAAAAAAGTTTCTTTTCCTCCCACTTGTCAGCAAATAACAATTCATACCCCTCCCCCAAAGCTCCCTGGCTCAGCAAAGAACAACACTGTAAAAGTGTGTTGTGTGTAGTGTGTTGAACGGGAAGGTTTACAGGCTCTCCCACTGCCGCAGCAACCAGGGAGGCAGAGATAAGAATCTTCATCTTCAGACAGCCCCAGTGCTATGCAGGACTGAGAAGTCGGCCCTGTAATATATTCAAGAAGACCTAAGGGTTTACTTTCCAATAAGGAGGGGGAAAAATCTGAGCACCCCACTGTGAGCTTATCCTAATGCTGCTTCATATAAAAAGTGGGTAATTAGTCCCTGAGTGAATAAAGTAGAATAGATGATAAGAGATTGATACTTAGAGGGGAAGCACAAAATGCTCTTGCCAGTCATCAAATTTTAAAGGCTATAGAGAAAGGGTTGGGGATGCGTCTGTCTGTTTACATACAATCTCCAGCTCAGAATTTGTAATGATAGTTCATTAACCAGTGTTTTTAAATTGTATTAAAATGAAGCTTATATAAATTTCAAAGGCGCACTTAGGGTGCCAGACACAGGAGATTTTGAGACGCAGCACCAAAATGCCACAGCACTGGTTGGAATTTGGGTCTGATGTCCATCCCTGTACCTCCAGCTGGGGGTCTGTTGCCAAAACCTAGAGGTGGTGCAGTGCTATTTGATCTGGGAACCAAATCCCCAATACATTTATTTTTGACAACTCCAGAACATGCATTCATGTTTTCCAGATTTTGTTTTCTCACATAATTTAACATGAATTTATCTGTGAATGTGTGGTATTGTAGAATAACACTTATAGAAGAGTTAAAACTTCCAAAATACACCAAGTAACGGTACTTAGAGATAAATCTTGATTTGGAGGAAGGACATCTCAGGGAAAATGGTTAAGATGTTAAATTTCTATTTAAATGGATTAAATTTTCCTGAAAGGACATCATTTTGCATAAAACTAATTCCATGAGCATTGTAGAAACACATTAAAGTTTCCTGAAAAATAAAAATATAAAAAAATATAAATATTTTTATATAAAAATAAATGTGAACCACCCATCCAAATTTTTAAAATCAGCTTCTAACTAGAAAAAGGAGATTGGCAGCCAAGATAAGGTAACAGGCCATTTTCACAAATGTGACTATATCATTCTTGAACAAGTGAACCAAAAATATCAACAGTAATTGGTGTATTTTCTGAAGATGCCTTGACTGATGCAGCGTCCTCACCCCAAAGAACTTAGAGTCTTTGCAGAGAGTGGACAGTTCAAAATAGACAGACCGTCTCAGGGGCAGACAGGAGAGAAATGTTCCAGCAACTTCTATGAGTAAAAGAGACTAAATCAATTGAAATTGCTCTACATCCCTTTCCCTATTCCCTTTCTTACCTTATAGCTTATATGTTAGGATCCTTACCACCTGTACAGACACAGATATAAAATAGATATTCAGCAAGTATCTTTTGGTGCAATTAGCAGATTAAGTTTTGTTATATTTAGTGATGAATTCATTAAAGAAACTTAATCAGATAATTAATTCAATCATGTGAATTCAACTCTGTTGATCTTTAGAGAAAAATTAGATATTTGAGCCAGTCACTATGGCTTCTGCCTATAATCCCAGCAACTTGGGAGGCTAGGGCAGGAGGATCGCAAGTTCAAGGACAGCCTCAGCAATTTAGCAAGACCTTGTCTCAAAATTAAAAATAAAGTCCTGGCAATGTAACTCAGTGGTGTAGCATCCCTGGGTTTCATTCTCAGTTTAAAGAAACCAAAGCTTGATAAATCTGTATATTTTTCTGCCAGAAGGAAAATTTCATGTATTTTTACAATCTTGGGGGAAAGGTGTAATTTGAACATATTCATAAAGCTAATTGAAAGACTTTAAATGATCATTCTATAAGAATGTGTGAATAAACTAGAATTGATGATCTGCCCTTTGTTTTCTGCTCATGGGGAATGGGTTCCCCACCCTTCAGGGTGACGTAATTTATCACAAAGTGTTAAACATCGTTCTCAAAGGATACATTTATCAAAAAAAGAAAGTTTCAAAAACAAATTTCTAAAAAGGCTATTATTCGTTTATCTTACACTTTACACTGTTCACATTCCTACACCCTCCCTGTTAATCTCTATGACTGTTGCTAGCTTTACTTGTGAGAGTTGTCTTTCACTATACTGTAAAATAATATTCCGTTTCAAATGTTTTGTAGTTATGTTTAAATCACTATAACACACACCCATGTAGATTATTCTGTGGTACAGAGGTACAACATATGAAGGTATTTTTGATTGTTTACGTTTTATAATTTTGAACTAAGTATACCTCTGAGTCCCTAGCCAGGTTTATAAATAGTTTAAGTAATTTTAAAGTCATTTTTAAAAATATTTCCTGTAAGGTAGGTTTAAAATGCTTTATTAACTGTGAAGTGCCACATATATAAAATATCAAGTGGATAACAACTGAGCTGCCAAGTCTGATGTGACAAGAAGATGCAGAGTTCCTGGTAGTGTGATGTGTGTCTGTTTGCACAACTTATTAATGATCAAATTTTTTTGCATCTCACTTTGAAATAGATGTGGTACTCAGTTCTCACACTCTGTATCTATTTCAGCACTGATTCCTCACTGTTTCAAATTTGGGTCAGAGAATTGGGGATAGAAAGGAGCATGTTTAGTGCACGGTTACAACCCAAACATAAACACCAAAATCGTCTTGAACACATTTCAACAGTACACGTGGCCTGGGCTTGTAGCTCAGTGGTAGAGCACTTGCCTAGCATGTGTGAAGAACTGGGTTCAATCCTCAGCACCACATAAGAATAACCATAAAGAAAAATAAAGGTATGTGTCCATCTCCATCTAAAAATAAAACAGTAAGCGTAAGGCAGACTTGATGTATATACATTCAGAACTCGCAAACTGTAGATCGTGCTCAAAATATTGGATATGCGTTACTAAGGTAACCATTAACTTGGTTTAGTGAGTTTAACCTTTTACTCATACCATTTTGTTGTTTTCTTCAAAATTCTTCTTATTTATTTTTACCCAATTAAAAAGCATCTTTTTACTTTCCATGCAGGGGTGTATGTAAACACACACACATCTGTGTATTTTTTCCCCAGCGGCTTCTATATACACATTGTAGTAAAGTTGTACAGTTAACATAAATAAACTCCAGGAGAGAAATTCCAACATTCCATTTTCCCTGGCCCATTGTCTCTGTGTATGTCTGTACGTCAGTCTGTCTTTTCTGATTCTGTGGTGTTCTCTCTTATTCAGTATTTATAAGGACCTCTAGGGCAGATGTCTTACAACAACTGGATGCTCACCAGGAGTTAGGCAGAATGAATAGCCTATGTCCGGCTTCTCCAAAGAGGGACCCCAGGACCAAAAAGAAAAACAGAAAAGGACACAATCAGACTTTAAAAACCATGTTCAGGTTAAAGGGCACCAACCAGCCTAGCTTGTATTCTGCCTAAAGGACAAGACTTTCATTTGATAACGATCATTAGTCACTGAGATATATATTTTAGAGAGTTCCCAGTAGCGACTATTCCGTTGGCAGTCAGTGGAGTGTACAGATGGTTCATTAGCATAGGCTAGACAAGTCAAAGGCTTTCAGAATCATTTAGAAAATGTCAAACAGAAACAAGAACCCTGTCACTTTTTATTAGAATTAACTACATCATACCCTGGACACAGATTTCACCTTGGGTCAGAAAAATTAATACAGAATTATATGAATTGTGTAATATACTGGGTTAAGATAGGTCTTTCTCTAGGGACTCATTTGCTGGCAATATATTATGATCCCTCTACTTTAGGAATCCTCAAACCTTTCCTTTTGTAGGATATGAAAAGAGTTGACCTTGCTCAAAATCCATTGGTGTCTAATTGACTTGAGGTATATGCAGAATTTCAACAAGACCTTCTTCTAAAGCTCTTTTGTGATCATTTTTCCCAGGAAGCTTGGTGAGTCCAGCTCACTGAATATTCAGCAGAGTATAGAGTATGCTTTATGTCAGGGGGAAAATACATCCACTCATTGAACACACTGCTTTAGTAAACGGGGAGTTAGAATGCCATTGAAATGTTGTTTTCTTTGTTTTTTAAATGCAGATGTCAAAAACCTTGAGAACTTCCAGCTGGTAGAAGGTGTTCAGGAACAGGTCAATGCCGCCCTGCTGGACTACACCGTGTGCAACTACCCCCAGCAAACAGAGAAGTTCGGGCAGCTACTTCTGCGACTACCCGAAATCCGGGCGATCAGCATGCAGGCTGAGGAATACCTCTACTACAAACACCTGAATGGGGACGTGCCCTACAATAACCTTCTCATAGAAATGTTGCATGCAAAAAGAGCCTAAGTTATGACCCCTAAGAGTTCTGCTTCCAGAACACAAAGAGATTTGAGGGGAGGGGAAAGAACAGGAAGAGGAAAAAATACTCTGAACTGCTCCAAGCAACACTAATTAAAAAACTCGGTTAAAGATACTGAATTTAAAAAGGCATAATAATCAAATACTTAATAGCAAATAAATGATGTATCAGGGTATTTGTATTGCAAACTGTGAATCAAAGGCTTCATGTCCCCAAAGGATTCATGTGAAAGACATTGTAACGGAATGGATTTGAACTCACAGATGGATTCCAACACTATGTCAGAATAAAAATGGACAGAACAATTCTTGTATATTTAAACTGATCTCCACTATGAAGAAATTTAGGAACTAATCTGTGTTATTAATTAGGCTTATACAGTGAGGGATTGAGCTTTACAGAATTCCTCCCTGGTGAAGCTGAACTGAAACAATTCTCAAGAATGCATCAGCTGTACCTGCGACAGCCCCTCTCTCTTCCTTGGAAGGCCTCGCACCTTCTGCCCTGTGATCACCAAGTCTGTACAAAGGACCTATGCTCAGCCACGCCCATTAGTAGCTCCACTAAATCATGAATTCCAAATGTCTGTGTCTTAGACCTGCAAACCGCTAATAAGAACAGTCTATAAATATGTCAGCTTGCCATTTTAAATATGTTCTCAAGTTTGTTTTGTCACGTGTTCATGATTTTACAAAGAGCAGGCAGTATCCCTCTTCTATCTTATATAAGCATTCATGAATATTAAGGGAAATGACTACAAATTTTTTAAGCAAATGCTCCATAACTAAAGCAAGTTAGATCTTATTTCTGCTACTGTTGCTGAAATGTGGCTTTGGCATTGTTGGACTTCATAAGAATTTCTGGCTGAAAGGCTTTTTAGGCTACATCTGCCCTTTTTAATCATAAAGGTTTGTGGTTCATTTTTAAAAAATACAGCATTAAAAATCTTTTGCTGGAATGTCAAATAGTCACAATCCTAAGTAGTTGAACATAAAAATTGAAGCATGTCAAGCTATGAAAATGAAAAGGAAGGAGAAGCTGATAGATTGGTTGACACAAGGTTCATTCTAGTTGCCACTGAGCATCCCCTATCTTGAGATGGGAACGGTAATTTTTGAATACAGCCTGGAAAAATACTATAGTCATTTAAATCTTCCCCAAAGAGGAAAGGAAGAGAGTGATACTGACCTTTCTAAGTCATAGACCAAAGTCTGCTGTAGAACAAATATTGGAGGACGAAGAATTGCAAACAAACTCTCCAAACAATGCCGTCAGTATTATTAACACGCGATGCCACAGGTATGAAAGTCTTGCCTTATTGCGCGATTCTGAAAGGTAGCTGTGCAGATGTGGATCAACTTTAAAATAAAGTATTAATGCTTTTAAAGTCAGATAAAATATAGTGTTTACATTCTTTAGGTCCTGGGGGTGGGTTGGGCGGGGATCATGATATTACAGAATAACAGAAGCAGTAATTTCTTTAATGTTATTTTTCTGATTCGTAATTATTTTTAACAGGACTTAATTATTATATGTCGTGAGACACTAAAATCAAAAACGGGAATCTCATTTAGACTTTAATTTTTTTGAGATTATCGGCAGCACAATCACTTGTAGAAACTGTAAAAAAATAAAGTATCTCCTAGTCCCTTAATTTTTTTTTTCATAAATGTTTCTGGCTTTTGAATAGTTTATTTATATTGTATATCATAGTTTCAACTGTAGACAATTATGATGCTAATTTATTGTTCTCAGTTTCACCTTTGTATAAGATATAGCCAAGACTGAAGAAACCAAATACATGTGTTTACTGTAGCATGTCTTCAAGTTAGTGGGACATAGTTCAGGGACATAGAAGGGTCTTAATGAATTAAAATCATCCACTTGATTAAATGTCTGTAAATCTTCCTAATTCTTACTGTAGTTTATTTAATATCTATTGTAAATTATGGGACCTGTAGCTTCCTCTGTTTTCAAGTAAATTTAACAAGGTGGAGTCTTACCCGGTTTTCCTTTCAAGCATTGTAAGTCGTATACCAAAGATATTAGTTATGACTTCAGCGTGTACAAAGAGAATTATTTTATTACTTTTATTAATCACCTTTAATGCCCGCCCACCCGAAAGGTGCAGGCTAGCAAAGCCCAGCCTCGACTTGTGCCGTGTCTGTCACCTATGTTATCTTCATGGCCCAAAGAGCAGTGAAGAATCGCTGGCCAGAGCTCACAGCCAAAGCACCCCAGAGCCCGGCAGCATCACTGCTACCCCCATTCAGAACCAAGTCAGAAGACACGTGGAGGGGCACAGTGGTGTGGACAGTCAGGAAGTGTTCCATCCCTTGTGTGTGTGTGTGACAAATAGGGCTGGGGATGTGGCTCAGTGGTCCATGCCCTTGAGTTCAATCCTCCATGCACCCCCACCCCCCCAAAAAAAAAGTCAAATACATTCACTCCTATCATCCATGTTTCTTCCTACTGAATAGTGACCCTAAAAAATGTCAAATTTTGGTATGTTGTTAACCGAGTGGATCACACCCTGGGAATGGTTAGAAAGAGACCATATGGAGTTACGTCCACACTGCTGGTGACATTGAGGACAGAAGCTGATAAACAAGAAAGCACCACAGCCGCTGGCTGTGGCCCATCCAAAGTTGGCAGATGCCATTTTTCTGATGTTCATTGTTAACCAGTTTGTAACCAGACATCCATTCAGCCAACTGCCTTATCAATTACAGGACTTATTAGTAAAAGCAGACTCAAATATAAAGGTTTTTGGCTTAGCTTGGTTTATTATAGCTGGTCTATGTTTGTAAACATGCAACCTGTAGCGTCCTGAATATTTGTGTTACAGATTTTCTGCGGCTGCCTTGGGCTCAAATCCATGCTATGTTTAGAGTGTGGAGTCGGTTACTTGTTGACGTTTTCTTACTGTATCAGTGAAATACATATTGTCATGTCAGTTCTTGCCAGGAATTTCTCAATAAAGTGGAATTTTTTTTTCAGTATTTCAATAAATATTGATATGCCCAGCCTGATAACTTTAAAAAGTCTTTATGTTGTCCTTATTCTATTGGATGCTAAAACTTCTGAGTAATTAACTACTTGATGGGATTGGAATCAATAGAATTTCACAAGAGGAATTACTTTCCTTTTCTAGGCATTTTTGATAGTCATCTGATGCCCTGCTTTGGATATCTGAAGCATTGAAGTAATCATAATCCACGCATCACAGTTCCACAGAGGAAATGAAGCATTTGTGTCACTTACTGTTAAAACTGATTGGTGGAAAAAAATTTATTTATTTACTTATTTATTTTTTTGTGATGCTGGGGATTGAACCCAGTGCCTTGTGCATGTGAGGCAAGGACTCTGCCAACTGAGCTACACCCCCAGCCCCTAAAATCTTAATAGTATCTAACTTTTTCTAATAACTCCTGCACGCTTTATTGATTCCTTGATCCTCAGAACAACTTCATGTAGTATCATCCTCATTTTATAATCTTGCGTTATGAGATGCACTAGTCAGAGAAGGAGCAGGGATTTGATCTTTGGTTTATGCAGTGCTGGGGATCAAACACAGGGCCTCATGTGTGCTGGGCAAGTGCTCTACCACTGAGCCACACAGCAGCCCAGGAGCAGAGCTTCAAACCCAGGCATCTTGACCCCAGGATCAGCACCACGTAAACATCATGCTATTCTGTCTCCAAAACAGGATGATACGTAGGAAAAGATACTAGAGAAAATCAGGCATCGGGTTCAATGAAGTATACAAAAATATCAAGTACTCAGGAATAGAAAAGCTTTCATATTCTCCATAGTTGAACCATGGAAGGTAGGATACCCATGTTCTAGAAATCAGCCTCCTTCAAAACCATTGAGTCTTTGGAAATGTCTTTGTGTTTTCTTTTGTTTTGAGATGGGGTCTTACTAAGTTGCTGAGAGCCTACAACTTGCCATCCTCCTGCCTCAGCCTTCCAAGTTGCTGAGATTACCGGTGTGCACCACCACATGCAGCTTGGAGATGTTTAAAGCAACAAAATAACTAATGAATCCATTTGGGAAATAAATAAAACTTATACTATAAAATAACAAAAGAGGGGCTGGGGCTAGGGCTCAGCAGTAGCACGCTTGCCTGGCATGTGTGAGGTATTGGGCTCGATTTTCAGCACCGCATATAAATAAATAAAGGTCTATCAACAACTAAAAGAAATACTAAAAAAAAAGCAAGAGCCATCAAACAATAATGCTTATGAGTCCAGCCCTCCCCGATTAGCCCCCACCCTTCTCATCCTCTCTGGTGGCTACGATGCTCAGGAGGCACAAGTCCTTTGCCAAGGAAACCCTAATTTTTCTTAGGATCCTTCAAAAAGACACCAAGGAGTCAGACCCAACACACTGCACCTGGGGATTTTTAGTGCAAAACTGAGATTTTGAGGTAACAAAGAGCTACCTCCAAATTCATCTCCCTTGTCCACCTCTGGGAAGAACTTTTTCAAAATTATTCTTGCTGACATCCCATGAAATATGAAAATACATGTTCATATTTAATTGGACTATAAATTTTCATACAGAAAAGTATACACTTTGATACATTTTTACACACGTGTACATCCAGGTAATCAAAACACAATTGAAGCAAGATGAAAAACATGAACTTTAAAAAAAAATTTTTTTAAGTAGTTATATACATTTTTCTCCCAGCCCCCTCCTGGATGCTGGCAGGGGTCATTGTGATGAGAGCCGACACAGCCCTCCTTCCCTCACTGAGAATAACATGCACCAAGTTGCTAAATCCATCAGCATGAGCAGCCTTTAAGGATAAAAGGGGGGGGGGCTCTCGTGCTGATGTGCATTTGATTGTTATATTTGATATTCAAAATAACTTTGCGGAGGTTTATACCTTTAACTAAGTTTGACATTCGGTTTGAAGCCATCTCTGATGTATATTTTTATGAGAAACATGTGCAATCTCTGTTCAACATAACGCAGGTCAGAATGCTGCAGTACTTAGTGATTTTGACATTTCCCTGGAATAATAAAGACCAATTTTCCTTAACGCTGAACAGGAAGTGTATAGTTTAGTCACTCAAAATAAATACTCTTGCAATACTTTAACTGTTTCATATAGGCATTTGTTTTATGTTAAGTTAGGAATTAATAATTCAGTGACTGATGTCAGGCTGTGATTGTGGTTTTGTTTGTAGAAAGGCTTTACATGTTGCTAGGAGAGAGGGGAAGGGGAAAGGGGGGTGTAATTAGACTAATTGCTGAGTATCCCTGAAGTAAGTTTGAAACTAAACTATCAAGAAACGAGGAGGCTGCAGAGGGCTGGGCCTCCAAGCCCCGCTCCAGCCAGCGCAGATCAGACCTCGGGCTGCACCAGGAGGTTTTGTGGATTCTAGGCCAGCCTGCCTGGGACACTGCCTCAGACCTGAGACTCTCCTTGGGACCTGTTAGTCACAAAGAGCCCAGGAGGGACGGGAGACCATGTGCAGACACCTCGTTGGTGTCTTAACTCTTCAACTTTATGGAGGTACCATGCCCATCAGCCAACAGCAGTTCCCCATCCTTGGTGTCCTTGAGGATGGAGCTGCCTGGACCAGAGCCTTCCAGCTCTCTAGTAACAGGAATCGAAACCCCTCTGGAGTCCCCGCCACCACAGGCCTCTCCTGCTCAGGGCCGTCTAGAGACAGCCTTTCCTTCCTACACCTCTCCCCCGTTCCACATGGTCTCAGTCTCCAAATCCCAAAGCTCCTTTTCTTATTCCTTTCAAACCAGTGCATGCCTTTCCTTCCTGTGGCTTTAGATCAGGTGCTTGGCCTTTCTAGCCTGAACTTTAGCAGCAGCCCGAAGGCTAGACCCCTTCTATCCAGTTCAACCCACTCCAAGCCTCACTCTAATCCTTTGACCCAGAGCAGTCTTCCCAGCTGAGAGCTGATATCATTCCTTCGCTGATCGTCCAAGGATGCTTACCATCTGTAGGAAAAAAGTCCGTGGAACCTTCCTGACACAGCCTCTACCTGCTTTCCCAGCCTCCCTCTCCAGCCTCCCCACACCACCTGCTGTTGTGTAGCAGTCACACCAAACAACTTGCTGCCCTGCGCCTTTTGGCCTCTCTCTTCCTACTCATGCTTTTCCCCCGTGGCTGGAAAACTTCAATCAAATTCAAAGAGACCTTCCTGATTGCCCTTCCTCATCCATCCAGTACATCCCCACCTCCTGGGTCTCAGATTTCTGATGTGGTTGTTTTGTTGTTGTTGTTGTTGTTTATTTTTTTGAGACAGAGTCTCACTAAGTTGCTGAGGCTGGCCTCAAACTTGTGACCCTCCCGCCTCGGCCCCCTGACTAGCTAGAATTACAAGTGTGCGCCACTGCACTGGGCTCTCTGATGGGACTGTGCTCTAGTCTCATCGTGTCATTTCCCAGGATTGTCCCTCTGCACGGTGAGCATAAGGGCAGGGACAATGACTCCGTGGTTTCTAAGCCACCGACTCTGTGCTGGCACACAGCGGGACCAACACATGGTTTCCACAAAAAGTATTCAAGTTTCCTGAATGAGAGCGTAGAGTTTTCCATCACTCAACAAAATAC